GGGTGTCTATGTAGGGAGCGGTATGGAACAGCCTCCCTCTCTGGGGGCAGCCTGTAGAATACAGAGGGAAAATGTCCCCAGGCATCTGAATTAGCTATCAAAAGAGTCTGGTCTGATGCCATGCACTTTCCCTCTTAGTTTCTCACTCAGAGCCTTATCACACTCTGAGCATCCAGTCCGGAACACCACTGGTTGCCTGGATAGAAACCAGAAGGTAGAAAGGAGACAGAGTTGGATTATTCTTAGAAGTAGCTACAATCACAGCAGAAGTGGCAAATGGACATAGAAGCCCAGAAAAACAGAAGGGAAAATCACAGATGTTCAAAATTATGAGATCCCCAAATCACGGAACAAAAAGTTTGTGTTTCCCACCAATATTATCTTTTAAAGAAGTTAGGTAAATATGTGCTACAGTTCTATACATACATACATAAGCCAAGTGATTAAAAACAAGCTTTAGCACTTAAACGGATAACTTTCTTTGTATGTCAACATTAATCTGTAGGAGATTCCTCATTTCTCTAGGAAGCCAGTAAAAGAGGTATCGCTATCTCGAATCGTGCTTGCTTTCGGAGTATTTCCTATCTTTGGGCTGAGACAGATCTCCGGGAACAGGCAGCTTCAAACTGACGGTGAGATACAGCTGTAAGTTGCCTGGAGCTGTACCTCTGAGTGATCGACAGGGCAGGGATGCATGTTTCAAAACACGTGTCTTAGACCTCTTCTACCTTTTCTACCTCCTTTGAGTATGTCTAAATTTACGTGGATTGGAAAGGTCTCTGTAAGGCACAAAGCCCTGCAAGACAGATGTTTTTGAAACCAGAGATTTCATGCTGCAGAGAATTGATTTGTTTGATTGATCGATTTGTTTTTCTGCTTATTTTTTCTATGCTTTTTGGGAAGAGTTTCCGTGGGAAGGTTGGCTATATTCATATTCCTCATTTCAAAGCCCAGTTTCTTTTTATTACTATTTTTTTTTACATTTTATTTTTTTAATGAATATGATTTATTGTCGAATTGGCTTACATACAACACCCAGTGCTCATCCCAAAAATCAAAGCACATTTTCATTGTTGGGCCGTCTTCTGCTTTTAGGTCTGTGTATTTCTGGATATCTGCATTTACTTATTCCCTTTATTCTCGTTGCCCACTACTGTTCTCTACTCTTGTTTTCCTCCTCAGAGTCAGTCTCTATAATGTGTTTGATACGTATGCTTGGATTATATTTCCTTGTAAAACATACAATTTTTTGTGTGTTAGTTGATTTGCAAGTGACACAAATACCTAACCGCATAAGGTTGTGCGGTAGACCTTGTTCCGTTTCTCCATTTTTCACTCAGTGCTGTCTTTTTAAGCGCTACCGATGTTGCTGGTGCTGTACCCGGTTCATTGCTTCTCACTGCTGCCTAGAAGAGAGCGGTGTGCACCTGCCATAGTTTACAGACCGGCTTCCTAGTGATGCACTCTGGCCTTGACCTGATTCCCTGCCACCATAATCAGCACTATAATACACAGTCACACGGTCTCACAGTCGGGACTGTGCAATGTTGCTTTGGGAGCATTTTCCCAGGAGTAGGGTTGTTGGGTCATAGGATGTATGACAGCAAACCGCTCTCCAGGATGACTCAACTGGTTCACGCTCTCACCAGCAGTGCACGCGGATTCTTCTTTCGCCAGCCCATTGATATGTAGCATTGTCCTACTTTCTGATTTTTGCCAAACTGACGGGTGTAAAGTGGCATCTTATTATTTTAATTTGCATCTCCCTGATTTCTAATCAATGTAAGCATCTCTTTATAGATTTGGTAAACATTCAGGTTTCCACTTCTTTGAATAGCATTTTAAGCCCTTCATGAGATTTTCTGCAGGGCTTCCTGTCTCTTTCTTACTAATTTGCAAAATTTCCTTGTGTAATCTGCAGTTCTCAAATTTTAATGTGAGTATGAATCACCTGGGGATCTTGTTAAGATGCAGATTATGATTCAGTCAAGGTAGGAAAGGGCTCAAGATGGTGCATTTCTAATAAGCTCCCAGATGATACAGAAGCCTCAGGTCCTTGAACCACCCTGTGAGTAGCAAGGTTCTAGATGCTAATTTGAGACTTTGCAGAAGTCTGTCTCTCCAAATTTGTCATTGCTCTGTCATCTTTGTCTAGATTTAATGTAATCAAACACATCAATATTTTGCCTTGTGGGTTAGTGCTATTTGGGACATATTTAAAAAGTCCTTTGTTATATCTGGGTCACAGTGATCTTCTCTATTTTTCTCTACTAACTTTGTACTTTTATTTCACACTATTTCATGCTTTTAATCCATCTGAAGTCACCTCTGTATTGGGTATACGTTAGGTAAGCAATTTTTATTTTTCTACTTACAGTGACCTAGTTTTCTCAGACCAAATAGTTCATTGTTTCTCCATTGATTTATGTTGCTACCTTCATCTTATTTCAAGTTCCCAGATATACTCTGTTTTCTCTTCTATTCCCTTGGTTCAGATATCTGTTCCTATAACAGTATCATACTGTTGTTGTCTTTATAGTTGTGAAGTATGTTTTCCTATCTGAAGGGCCACTATTCCAACCTTTGTTCTTTCTTAAACTCCTAAAGATTCTTTGTGAATCTTTATCCTTTTAGGTAAATTTTGGAAGAGATTTGTTTAGTTCCTGAAAAATATCTGACTGACATTGGAGTTGCATCGACATTATAGATTAATTTGGGGGAGGTACTGATGTTTTTACAATGTTGTCTCATTTGTGAAGAGGGATATATTGCCATTTATTCAGATGTTTCATGTTTGTAAATAGATTTCAAAGTTTTTCTCCATAAAGTCTGTGGGCTGTTCTTAATTATGTTAATTATAAGTACTTTACTGCTTTTGTTGCCTTTGAGAACACTATTTTATTTCTGTTATATTTCCTACTTGATTATTTTTTATATAGATGTCAGTAATTTTTGTTAGCTGATCTCTATCTCACAATATGCTGGCCTTTCTCATTTGCTTATCTGTTGCTTTGATTAGCTTTTCTATGTAGATTATTACATTCTATGCAAATAATGACACTTCTATTATCTTCTACTGTTTGCTTTTTTCAGTTTTAATTTTGTGCATTTGTTATTTATTTTATTAAAAATCAGTAGACTTTACTTACTTTTTCAGCAGTTTTAGGTTTACAGAAAAATTTCACAGAAAGTGTGTAGCATTCACATATATTCCTTCTCCCACCACCCAGTTTCCACTAGTATTAACATATTGCATTGGTGTGGTACATTTGCTACAAGTGATAAGCCCATGTTGATACATTATTATTAACTGAAGTCCATGGTTTACATTAGGGATCACTCTTGTGCTGTACAGGTCTATACGTTTTACCAAAACGAATGTATACTGTCATGTATCCATCATTACGGTATCATACAGAACAGCTTCACTGCTCTAAAGAATCCCCTGGGCTCCATGTATTCACCCCTGCTCCCAACCCCAACCCCTGACAGCCACGGATCTTCTTACTGTCTCTACAGTTTTAGCTTTTTTTTTTTTTTTTTTTTAATTTTTTTTTTCAACGTTTATTTATTTTTGGGACAGAGAGAGACAGAGCATGAACGGGGGAGGGGCAGAGAGAGAGGGAGACACAGAATCGGAAACAGGCTCCAGGCTCTGAGCCATCAGCCCAGAGCCTGACGCGGGGCTCGAACTCACGGACCGCGAGATCGTGACCTGGCCGAAGTCGGACGCTCAACCGACTGCGCCACCCAGGCGCCCCTACAGTTTTAGCTTTTACAGAATGTCATGTGGTTGGGATCGTATAGTATGCAGACTTTTGAGACTGGCTTCTCTTACTTAACAATATGCATTTAGGGGCGCCTGGGTGACTCAGTCAGTTAAGCATCCTACTCTGGTTCAGGTCATGGTCTCACAGTGCGTGAGTTCGAGCCCTGCGTCTGGCTCTGTGCTGACAACTCAGAGCCTGGAGCCTGCTTCGAGTTCTGTGTCTTCCTCTCTCTCTGCCCCTCCCCACCCCTGCTCACACTCTGTCTCTCTCTCTCTCTCTCTCAAAAATAAATAAACATTAAAAAAATTTTTTTTAAAAAACCCAATATGCATTTAATGTTCTCCCTTGTCTTTTTGTGGCTTGATAGCTCATTTCTTCTTCTTAATTTTTTTAAATGTTTATTTATTCTTGAGAGGGAGAAGAAGAGAGAGACAGAGCAAGCGTGAGGGAGGGTAGCAGAGGGAGAGTGAAGGGAAATCCCAAGCAGGCTCCACACTGTCAGCACAGAGCCCGACGCGGGGCTTCATCCCACGGACCGCGAGATCATGACCTGAGCCAAAGCCGGATGCTTAACTGACGGAGCCACCCAGGCATCCCGCTCGTGCCATTTCTTGAAACGACCGTCCCTTCTGCACTGAGTTTGCTTTGCTCCTTTGTTAAGGCTCAGTTGACCGTCTTCGTGTGGGCCTGTTTTGAGCTCTCGTGTGTTCCGTCGATGCACTTATTCTCTCACCAGTATCGCACTGTTTTTATTACTGTGGCTGATTTTTAATTTATGTTTTATAGCCTTGTACTTCTAAAAAAAAAATAGGATTTGAGATAGATTGCAATTTCGGTTACACCGGAAACAGGACAATTTTAATAAGATAAAAATTGTAAAATATTAAACGATTGATTCTTCTAGCAGTGGCTGCATTCTTTCAAGAGCTAGAACACACAGAAATATTACAATAGAGTATGGAGCGGCCTGAGGACTTTTTACCTGCTGTCACTTATCTGACGACGTTGAAAATTGTTAGTTTGGACAGAAAAATTCTGAAGCTGGGTTACTCTTAAATATTATTATTTTCCTTTCAGTTTATGGTGATTGTTCAGCTAGTATTGCATAGTTAGTTGTATACAGTTCATTGGAGATACGTCTTAATATTTTAGCTATTTTAAGACTCGACCTACCAGAGAATGCTTATTGAAATATGCAACCGTGACCGTATATTTTTGAATTTTTTTTAGGTCAATGATGCCTTCCTTCATGTGATACAGCGCAAATCCATGGGCAAGGTGCTTATCTCCCTGAAATAAACCCTGACCTCAGCAGCAAATTCAGCATGTCCAAATCTAAGCTCCTCATCTTTCCAAAAAACCTCCTTTACCTCCAGTGTTTCCAAAGGTGTGACCGCTTTCCTGATTAATCCAGGTTCAGAATCTTTTAGAGGCATCTTCGATTCTGTTTTCTTATTCCTAGTAAATAGTGTGACACATACTGTATAGTCCTAGTTTGTCCGTATTGGAGAGGGAAAGGAGGCTGTTAGTAATTACACCAGGCAAGCAAGGTGTCCTAGGCAAAGCAGGATGTATGGCCGTTCTGTTCACAATGCCTCAGTGGCCGGGTTCTGTCATCCCCACCTCTCAAGATATGTCTCACCTCCGTATCCTCTTTTCCATTCCAACCAATTATGTTTCATCTGCTAATTCCAGTAACTTTCTGACTGGCTTTCCAACCTTTAAACGTCCCCCACCCCTCCGTCCTTGTTATACATTGTTGCCATGGTGACCTTCCTAAAGTACAGCTGTGACTGTGTCTCTTCTCAGAAAACCTGCAATGGCTCCCCTTGGTCTACATGGTGGAGTCCAGACTCCTCAAGCTAGCATTTCTTTGTGTCCATGACCTTGCCACGCTCTGCAGCCTCAAGTTACACAACGCCTCCGGTCCCTCCATGTGTACTTAGATTTCCTGCCAACCCCCCTTTTCTCTGCTCAAACACTTTCCTCTGCTCCCTTGTCCCTGTCAAACACGAACCTTTCTAACTTCCAAGACCGACCTCTGCCATGAGCCTGCCCCCTCAGGAGGCTGGTCATTTCTTCCCTTCTACCTTCCTGTAGCTTTTCCCCTGGGATTTGTCACATTCTGCCTGGCACCAGAGGGAGCAGCATGTCTAGTAGAATGAACACAGGATTCTGAATCTAAGATGTGGGTTCACATCCTGGTCTTACCACTTCGGAGGTGGTTACTTAAGGTCTGTGAGCCTCCATTTTCTCATATTACAATATCTACCTCACAATGTTGTCGTGGGCAACACATGCAGCAATTGGGCAAATTATCCGGTGCGTGGTGAGCTATTAGCAAATGCTGGTTACTTTTACTTCTTTCTTTCCTCCTTTCCCAAGGTAGCATAAGTTTTTTGAAAGCGGGTACCATGTCTGATTCACCTTTGTACCTCCCACAATTCCTATCACAATGAGTAGTAAATACGCCATACATGGAATTGATTTTAAATCGTCTACAAGTCTTTTTTTTTTTTTTAATTTTTTTTTTCAACGTTTATTTATTTTTGGGACAGAGAGAGACAGAGCATGAAGCGGGGAGGGGCAGAGAGAGAGGGAGTCACAGAATCGGAAGCAGGCTCCAGGCTCTGAGCCATCAGCCCAGAGCCCGACGCGGGGCTCGAACTCACGGACCGCGAGATCGTGACCTGGCTGAAGTCGGATGCTTAACCGACTGCGCCACCCAGGCGCCCCGGTAAATTGTCTACAAGTCTTAAATTGTGGGAGTAAGTTAAGAATGCGCCAGCCTGGAAACAAACCAAATGTCCATCAACAGATGAATGGGTAGAAGAAATGTGGTGTATACACACAACAGGAATATTATCCATCCTTAAAAAGGAATGAAATTCCGACCCATGCTGCCACATGATGAACCTTGAAGACGTTATGCTAAGTGACGTAAGCCAGTCACAAGAGGACAAACATGGTGTGATTTTACTCCTAGGAAGTATCGAGGGTAGTCAAATTCATAGAGATAGGAAGTAGAATAGTGGTTGCCAGGGGCTGGGGGGAGGACAGACTGGGGGGGTTATTGTTTAGTGAGTACAGAGTTTCAGTTTGGGAAGATGAAAACGTTTGAGGGATAGATAGTGGTGATGGTTGCCCAACAATGAAGAATATAATGTCACCGAACCGTACATGTAAAAATGGTTACAATGATGAATTTTATGTTACGTATGTTTTACTACAACAAAAAATGTAAAAAAAAAAACAACCCACAAAAAGCCCCACAACATATTACCTCACATCTAAGTGAATCCATGCAGAGAAGAGAGCACAGTGTGAGTTGAGTGCCCAGCTTAGGTTGATGTGAGCCCCAGTCTCTGCCCATGGCCGGTCTGCGTGGCGAGGTCCTCTACATTTGTTTGTTGTTCTCTACTCATCCTACTCTATGAGTGATAATTCCCAAAAAAGTGAGTGGTGGGGTGGGGGTAAAACAGACGCCTGACACCACAGGGATGGGGGTACTTTTACTCATTCTTGAGGAGAATAAGTACTTTTGTTTGTTCCAATAAATGCTGCTTTGTTTTCTGATAAGTCCTTCAGGCCATTTGGAAACACCTATCTTCTCAGGATCTCCTCACCAAAAGAGCTCTTGGAAGGACTGAATTGTAAAATCGGGAGTGAACATTTGGGGAAAGAATTGAAAACCGAGAAAGTAGCAGAAGGTGGGGGGGCGGGTGTCAGGGAAGCCACCCCTGTGTCTGTTGTGGGACCTTGTGGTGCTTCTGTGAGGGCCAGAGCCCACGCTGCACCTCTTCCTGCAAGCAGGGGAGGGGTGTGGGGGGGGGGGCAGGACAGAGGATCTGAAGCAGGCTCTGTGCTGACAGCATCGAGCCCGATGTGGGGCTAGAACTCACAAAACTGAGAGATCACAACCTGAGCCCAAGTCAGGCGCTCAACTGACTGAGCCACCCAGGCGCTCCCAACCTTACTTCCTCTTAACCTGAGCTAGTTTGTATTTAAATGACAGTTGGTCTTCAAAAATATCAAGACACCAACTTTGAGGCTAATTAAAAAAATTTTCTGTCACCCTTTGGGATAATCAAAGACTTGCTTGGCAGAGAGAAGCACGAAAGATCAGGGTTGGGAAAAGTGTGCAAGCCCAGCGGGGAGCTACCTTTCCTTCTGTTCAGAGCTGATCAGTAGGTGTCACCAGTAATAAAGATCGATTGCTCTCAGCTCACTAACGTCCAAATGACTTAGATTGAAAGAGGCAGTCATTAAAGAGAGCGAGTTTCTTCAGGTTGAACAAGTATTGGTTAGAAGCCCTAATGACCTGCTCCCTGCTCGCTCGCCGTGTTCCTGCTTCTTTGGGATGATTCGATTTGAAAGCATTTGACTCATATTTTAGTCACTGTTTGGCCGTCCCAGCGTCTTAACCATTAGCCTGAAAAAAGAATCAATGCAGCTCCGAGTGAACGTATTTATTCGATATTCAAGATTTTCCCCAGCTCTTCCCCGCCGGCTGGCTGCCGGAGAAATCTCTCCCACACACCTACCTCTTCTTTTTCACCAGCTGTGGGTCTGTCCACCTGCATACACTTCTCTCAACAACTCAAGTGAGGTATTAACTAAGGGATGACCTTGTCTCTACATCGTCAGGATATTTGTCCCCGCTCCTTCCTCTGCAGCTGTGGCAAAGACCTCGAAAGATTTGTTACGTAGCAAGCGAAGAGAAATAAAGGTGTCCTCACGTCATCGCTTGTGTTCAACAACAACAACAACAAAATTAAATAAAGGAAGAAAAATTTGCACTATTATTTCTTCCACTTCATTTTTCTTCTCGGATTTTGTAAGTGAATCAAAGAGCAGTGAGTTTTCAAAATAGTTATTGTTTATAAAAGTCATGGGAAGGGAAGGCCCAAATGAAACAAATGCTGGCATGTCTAACTGTTCTCTTCCCCTGGCTTCTTTGTCACAGCTTATTGCTAGATGGAAGCCCTGAGGTGGAAGGATGCCGACTTCTGGAACTTTGCTATTGTTGAGAAATCCTATACAGAGTGATTATTATTTTTAGAAAATTTGTGCTGTATGTAGAAATAGTTTCTTAAACTTCAGTGAATTGCCTCGTTATTTTAAAAACGGTGTTGTTAAAATGATCACAAAACAATCATTGAAAAAAATCAAAGCAGCAAAAAGTTTATGAGTAGAAGTTGTTATCCTATTTTTCTCTAACCTGCCTGCCTTTTTTTTTTTTTTTAATGCTTATTTATTTTTGAGAGAGAGAGAGAGAGACAGAGACAGAGTGCGAGCAGGGGAGGGGCAGAGAGAGAGGGAGACACAGAATCCGAAGCAGGCTCCAGGCTCTGAGCTGTCAGCCCAGAGCCCGATGCGGGGCTTAAAGTCAGGAACTGTGAGATCATGACCTGAGCTGAAGTCAGATGCTCAACCAACTGAGCCACCCAGGTGCCCCATCTAACCTGCCTGTCTTACTCCCTTTCTCCAGGGAAACCACAGGAAGCAGTTTGGTGCTGCTTTGGTAGATCCTTTAAACACGTACACACGATGCATACACACAGAGGTTTTGTTTTTGTTTTTAAATAAAGACATACATAGTTTTTAAAAATAACCAATCATCAGGGCACCTGGGCGACTCAGTCCGTCAAGTGTCTGACTCTTGGTTTCAACTCAGGCCATGATCTCCCAGTTTGTAAGTTCGAGCCCCACAACGGGCTCTGTGCTGGAGTGTGGGGCCTGCCTGGGATTCTCTCCCTCCCTCCCTCTCTCTGCCACCCCCACCCCGCTCAGGCACACGCGTGCGCTCTCTGTCAAAATATATAAACGAATTAATTGATCATAGTATGCACACTGTTCTGTATTGTACTGTTTTTAATCAGTATGTCATAGACATCATTCCATATTAGTAAAATAGACATCTCGTTCTTTTTTTTTTTCATCTTTTTTTTTTAACAGCTGTTTAGTGCTCCAAAATGAGGATATGTATCATATGCAACCACTTCCTTATTAGTGGGCTTATTCATTTATTCACCTTGATGTGATACACGTGGCTGTGCCTCTGTGTGACAAGCTCAGCACAGCACAGGGAATGTACACCATGGTGGGCAGAAGTTTACAAATTTAGCGGGGGAGATGGACGTGAATTAAAACCACAAAACCATGCCAAATTAGTGTCGCATAAAGTATAATGGGGGGATCTAACTCAGGCAGGTCAGGAAAGGTTTCCCTGAGGAGAGATCCTTGAAACGCTGAAGACGGAGGCTTCTGGAACATTGAATTCTAGGAATTTAAATAGGGAAGGAAGGGAGGAATGTTCTAGGGCCCCATGGCAAATGAAAGTCTGTGAGTGAGAGGGGCTGAGAGAAGAGGAGTAGGGCTGGCGGGGGAGCAATGGAGGCAGGTATTGTAACATGAGGCTGCAGACAGGCCCAGATTAGGCGGGGACCTGTGGGCCAGGTATGGTTTGTGCCCTTACCTTAAAAGGATGGGATGCCATGAGGTGCTCTAGGGAGGGGTGGGGGGGGGGGCGGCATGAGCAGCACAGCATTTTTGGAAGAATCCTCCTAGCTATAGTGGGGAGAAAGTTTTAGAGATGAACAGAACAACGAGGAGTCCATGAAAATCCCAATGGGAGAGGAGGGTATCCGGGACTAAGGTGGTGATGAGGGGAAGGGAGAGAAATCGACAGGACAGAGAGCTCTGCGGGAGGGAAAAGCAAAAGAACAGGCAGGGCTGGGGGCGGGGGAGGGAGGGAAATGTCAAGATGTCTCCTAGCTTCCTGGATAGGTATTTGAGAGGAGGAACATCAGAAGAGAACCGAGTTGTGGCAGTGGCAGGGGATATGATGGGGTTAGAAGGTGAGGTTGTGCGTATATTGAGACATCCAGGAGATGTGAGCTGTGCAGTTTTCTGTACCTGTCTCATGCTCAGGAGAGAGGTGTGGCCTAGAGATACGAATTTGGGCGTCATTTGCTTGGAGGTACCATCGGTACCTGTGATGAGATTGTAGAGACAGCGCGGAGAGAGAAGGGAAGAGGGTCTAGACTGACTGTAAACATCTTTCCTCTCCGTAGGACTGTAGAATATCGTGACTGCTCTGTGGACCACTCAGAGAGACTTGGACAGGGATAGTCTGGTGATTTCACATGAACCGCAAGAGGTTATCAGGAAGGCTGTATTGCACAGGGAATAAAGCACCGTTCTCTCAGTAGAGGACCGGCGACTGGGGCTCTTAAGTCCAGCTGTTCGGCCTTGGGCTAGACTCCTCTTTTTAATTTTCTCAGGTAAAACAATGAAGATCATAATATGTTTTTTCTACCTTGCGTGGTTCCTGTGAGGGTCAAATGAGATAATGTATGATAATGTGTGAAAGCACTTTCTAATTGTCATTTTCGTAATAGATTGTGAGGTCGTCTAGCACCAGTGTGTTCAAGTTCATTTCAGAGTGGAGCAAAAATGTGTATTTTTTTGGCATCTGCTGGGCTGATATGGAGCAAAGGAATTGTTTGATTTTTAAAAGTGTCTCTCAAGTATTTCTACACTCTATTGTAGCTGAAGTCATTGTGCTCTTTTATACGGAATAATGGACAAAGCGATGGGAGCCCCATGATCCGACGTACCTCAAAGACATACAGAACCAGACAAGGTCTAAAGAAGGACACCTAAATTGATCCAGAGGGCAGAGGGGGTTCTTTTGTGAGGGATGATGAAAGAATTGGGGCTCTTCGTTCTGGAAAGACGCAGGCTGAGAGGGGAATATGATTGAAATTTGTAAAATAATGAAAATCATAGGATAAAAATATGAACGTATTAAATCCCAGAGCACAAGAACTAGGGACAACTTTATCATTTTAAAGAAATAGCTTTAGGGCAAAGTAAAAATAGTACTTCTTTACACAGGAATACTAAGCACATGGAACTTACTACTCTCAAAGATTGCTAGGACCAAAATCAAATATTATAAGAGAAAGACATGTATTTCTGGAAGATAGATTCATAGATTATAAAATGAAATTAAAAACAGTTTGGGTAAGTCTCCCCAATTTTGGACTATGGCACCATGGAGAGTGGCCATGAAGCTTTCTTGTTTCCATCTGGCATCCTTGTCCAGATCAAGATTCCTGAGTGGATGTGCCAGAGAGGACAGAGCACAGAATTTGAGCTCAGAGGGCCTGGCTGCAAGTGACTCTCGGGAATCACGTCTTTTTATTTACTTTATTTATTTTTATTTATTTATTTAACGTTTATTTATTATTGAGAGACAGAGAGACATAGAGCATGAGCAGGAGAGGGGCCGAGAGATGGAGAGACACAGAATCTGAAGCAGGCTCCAGGCTCTGAGCTGTCAGCACAGAGCCCGACGCGGGGCTCGCGGGGCTCAAACCCCCAAACTGCGAGATTGTGACCTGAGCCGAAGTCAGACGCTTAACCAACAGCCACCCAGGCGCCCCGGGAATCACTTCTTTTTTATGTACCTCCATTTCTTCATCTGCAAAAAGAAGAAAAAAAGGTAATATCAACATTAAAACCTGCTGCACTATTGTAAGAGATTCAACTGAAGGGATGTCTGTGGCAGTGTTTTGTAGTTGGTAAACATATTAGCCGCAGGGGCATGAGAATTGCCACTTTTATTGTTGCATTTCCAATTCTATCTCCTTTAGGTGGGTTGACCTTCACCTTGTCCTTCCTGAACCTGGCCTTGCTGGGGAGCAATATTTGCCAGCTCAGAAATGAAGGAGAACACTGAGGATAGGGACACTCCCTGGTCCTCTAGGGAGGGAGGTAGAGAGAATGCAGACATCTCTTCCTTCATCCCTTGTTCTTCCTTGCGAAGGTAGAGAAATAAAGGTGAGGAGGTAAGGAGAGGGGTGCCTGGGTCAGTCAGTTAAGTGTCCGACTCTCTCTTTGTCTCTTTTTAATGTTTATTTATTTTAAGAGAGAGAGAGAGAGAGAGAGAGAGAGAGAGAGAGAGAGAGAGAGAGAATGAAGGGGGGGAGGGGCAGAGAGATGCTTAACTGACTGAACCACTCAGGTGCTCCTAGCATCTGACTCTCGATATCAGCTCAGGTTGTGATCTCATGATCTTGCAGTCATGGGATCCACCCTGAGTTGGGCTCCACACTGAATGTGGAGGCTGCTTGGGATTCTCTCTCCTCCCCTCTCCTGCTCACACACGCAAACACGTTCTCTCTCTCTCAAACAAACAAACAAACATTATTTAAAAAGATAAGAACTTTGAAAGCATCTCTCTTCTTTGGATGTTTTGGGTGGTGAGATGCCACCCAAAAACTGGGGTATTCTGGTCTCTGGGCAACTTCAAGTGTTCTCACAGATCTTAGGAAAACTAAAAAAGGGGGGTACAGGGCTGGAGGAGGAAAAACCACGGGGATTGGTTTCTTTTTTTTTTTTTTTTTTAATGTTTATTTATTTTTGAGAGAGAGACAGAGACAGAGCACGAGCGGAAGAGGGCAGAAAGAGAGGGAGACACAGAATCCGAAGCAGGCTCCAGGCTCTGAACTGTCAGCACAGAGCCCGATGCAGGGCTTGAACTCACGGACTGAGAGATCGTGACCTGAGCCGAAGCTGGACACTTAACCGAGTGAGTCACCCAGGTGCCGCCCTGGGATTGGTTTCTTAATGGCATCTATAGGTTTGGGATTTAAGGGAGAGACAAAAATATGACTGAAATTTCCTTTCAAGATGGCCACTGCAGTTTGCTATTCTGGAAAGCCGATGGAGATCTGGAGGGAAAGAATGTGTCTTGCCTGGACACACTCTGCATATGACGTGTATCCCTAAGGAATCCAACTTCACCAGAGGAGATTCAGGAACAGCAGGAAGAGAGGACTGATGACAAATAGTCTTTTATTTCCTCCATAGCAAATATGAACGGCTTTGCCAGGCTTCCAAGCACCCCACCGTACAACTTCCCCTGACCTCATGTCCCATGGAGAAGAGTGAAAGGAGAATGGTCCACTAGCCAAGGCAGCCAACGATTTGAATTGTGGCCTCAGCACTAATTAGCTGTGGGCTCTGCTTCTAGTCCATAAAATGGTGGTAATAGTAACCCCCTTGTCCTTGAGTTGCAATGAGGTCAAAA